TGGCTCTGTCAATCTGTTTCTTCACTTCAGCAGGTGGGTATTGTAGTTGTAAGAACGCTTGATAGAGATCTTGTAGGTGTTTGTCTCTGTCTGAGGGGTTGGAGCAAATGCAATTGTATCATAAAGTTTGGCTGTAGACAATGGATCATGTGATGTGGTCTGGATGAAAGCTGGAGGCATGTAGGTAGGTATAGCAGTTAGTAGGTTTCCGGTATAGGGTGGTGTTTATGTGACCATCGCTTATTAGCACTGTAGTGTCCAGGAAGTGGATCTCTTGTGTGGACTGGTCCAGGCTGAGGTTGATGGTGGGGTGGAAATTGTTGAAATCATGGTGGAATTCCTCAAGGGCTTCTTTTCCATGGGCCCAGATGATGAAGATGTCATCAATGTAGCGCAAGTAGAATAGGGATGTTAGGGGACAAGACAGCTGAGGAAGCCTTGTTCTAAGTCAGCCATAAAAATGTTGGCATACTGTGGGGCGATGCGGGGTACCCATAGCAGTGCCGCTGATTTGAAGGTATACATTGTCCCCAAATGTGAAATAGTTATGGGTGAGGACAAAGTTACAAAGTTCAGCCACCAGGTTTGCCGTGACATTATCGGGGATACTGTTCCTGATGGCTTGTAGTCCATCTTTGTGTGGAATGTTGGTGTAGAGGGCTTCTACATCCATAGTGGCTAGGATGGTGTTTTCAGGAAGATCACCAATGGATTGTAGTTTCCTCAGGAAGTCAGTGGTGTTTCGAAGATAGCTAGGAGTGCTGGTAGCTTAGAGCCTGAGGAGGGAGTCTACATAGCCAGATAATCCTGCTGTCAGGGTGCCAATGCCTGAGATGATGGGGCATCCAGGATTTCCAGGTTTATGGATCTTGGGTAGCAGATAGAATACCCCTGCTCAGGGTTCTAGGGGTGTGTCTGTGCGGATTTGCTCTTGTGCTTTTTCAGGGAGTTTCTTGAGCAGATGGTGTAGTTTCTTTTGGTAACCCTCTGTGGGATCAGAGGGTAATGGCTTGTAGAATGTGTTGTTGTAACTGGCTGGAGGTCTTATCCTTTAAGTGAGCAGGCCAAGAAGCAGACGGGCTTGACAACCTGTCAGGTAGCAGTTAAGCCATTTTCATCTTCCCCCTTATGCTGCCAAGTGCATGATGGGAGTCAATGAAGCTCCTTGCAGTAGTGACCATAACTATTACTTAGCATGGTCTATGGAAGTGTGTTACTGAGTGGCTTTTATTTTTATCTTTCATATTTATGCACTGAAACCCTTTTAAATTATTTGTTCTAACAATCAATGAGATTATAGTTCTTACAAGAATTCGCCCATGTTAGTTTATTGTGGCTATTTAATATTACAGGTAGAAAAATAGTCTAATAGTCAATAGAGTCTGACTTGGAGCCTCTAAGCATTTGTGTAATGCAAATATTTACCAAGTCTAGAAAATAACTGTTTAGAAGATCCAAACGAGACTGAAGACTAGGTTGCTGGCAGTGAGCAGCTAAGTTTCAATAATAACAGGCACACGACTGACAGAATGAAGAAACTTAACTCCATGCTTCAGTTTTCCACTCTGGTCTACAGTCTTCTTATGGTAGGGTAATTTAGTGCTTTGACTAGAACTCTCCCATTATAGGATAAACAGTTCGGAACAAACATCACACAATCTTCCAGCTCACTCTGAGCTGAAATAGTCCTTAAACAGCTCTTCCCTGCCCAGGTGTCCATTTTCCTGTTGACACAAACTGTGTAGGCGGGAGGAGCAGAGTGGTCCATCAGCCCTTCTAAACTCAGTATGTGGGGGCTTCTTTCCACTCTTATTGAAAGTCCAAGCTGGGGGCCCTAAACAAAGATAGAAAGAAGTAACAGACCCCCAAACTCGCACCTCTGCTGAACTGTCACAGGCCTTTTCCTTTTCTTGCTTCATCTCTCTTTTCTACTCATGCCTGTTTTCATACCATTTTCCCACAGCCCTACTGGCTGCTTCTCCAACCATGTTGGTAGTGAAATACTGCAGATCTGGTTTCTCTCTGGTGTTTCACAGGCTGCCCTTTTTTAGTTTGGTTGGCACATGATCACTCATGAGCCCCTCCAGACAAATCCTCCAGAATACCCTTGTCCCTGACTGCACCAGGACCAAGTTGTGCCTATAACCTCCTCTAAAGAGTCAGTGCATACCCTGATATAGGCTGGTAAGAATAACACTGACCTCTGCTTCTGAGATTGCTGTAGCTTCTTCCAGGGCTTGAGCCATTCATAAGTTTCTTTTAAAGTTCCTCATCTCTTCTCCCTACATCTATTTCTAAACAGAGTATTGCCCATATATTAGTACATCCTTTAGCATAACAAAGATATAAAAGAATGCTCCAATCCAGTTTTTTCCCCCTTTGAAGGTCATCTTTAAAGGAAGAAAGAGTGTTCTGCTATTCTTCCAAGTCATTATCGTGTAGAAGCTCGGTTCTGTTTATATCAGTTACAAGGCAGGCAATATCAAAATCTGTTGTTCACAATCCATGACCTTTAGGCTACGTATACACTGAGAATTTTACAGATGTCTTTTATATTTGATCTAGCACTGGTGGTGGCAACAATGGCTAGTATAGATGTTTTTATCATATGGTGTTTTTACCATCCATGTGGTATTATTCAGCACTGTTCAGAGCAGGTCTGCACAACACTGAGTAGTACCCAGACCACTGGATGGTCTAGATTAGTTCTCCCACTATTGCACCAGTGGAGTTTCATTAGTAGAGATTCATTAGTGTTAGATCAACAGTGAGGAAAATCTAAGTGTAGATATGGCCTTTGTTTACATCCGGCTCTCTAAATCTTCAAAGAATATAGCCCCAGGAAATACCTGCTAGAAAGGCAAGTGTTTGTTTTTTGTTTTATTTTTCAATTCAGACTGCATTAATTACAGTAATGTAAGATCTATTGTTAACTAGAGATTAAGAAATCAGGATTCAATATTTGTATTAGGATAGACTTGGGCAAATCAGTGTTAGTAACCATCTCACCCTCCCCCGCATTATTTCAAGGTCATATTTGACTTTTCAAACTGAACTGCTATTCTGGTATCTTTGGTATGGTTTAGGAAATCTTAGGTGATGACATTTGCAGATAGATAACCCATTAGTTCTTTATTACAGTGGATGTATTGGTTTGGCCAGTACTTTGCTTTCAAAGGTGGTGGATATAAATTTCTACTGCCTTATTGTGCCACAATTGTGTAAACACAGTTATCTAGAACTGAGATCCTGGGGTGAGATTCTGAGCTGCAATTCTAAGATTGCCCCTAACTCATTGCCCAGCAGTGACTACGGCAGCTTTAAATTACCTTTGCACATTTCCAGTCTTGTGCTGCTCTGAGGGCTAGAGCTGCCCCAGCATAATTTATGCAGCCCTGGGGTAATGTATAAGTTACAGCAGCATCATGGGCCACAGCATTGCTGAGAAACTCCATAGTCCTGCATGATATGGCCCCTATTCAGCATGCTCATCATACCCCCCGCATACTTCTACACCGACCT